AGTTTATCTAATATTAAATATTGTTTAAAGTAATTTATCTAATATTGAATATTGTTCAAAGTAATTTATCTAATATTGAATATTGTTCCAAGTAATTTATCTAATGTTAAATATTGTTTAAAGTAATTTATCTAATATTGAATATTGTTTAAAGAAATTTATCTAATGTTAAATATTGTTTAAAGTAATTTATCTAATATGGAATATTGTTTAAAGTAATTTATCTAATATTGAATATTGTTCAAAGTAATTTGTCTAATATTGAATATTGTTTAAAGTAATTTATCTAATATTGAATATTGTTCAAAGTAATTTGTCTAATATTGAATATTGTTTAAAGTAATTATATATTGCCAGGGTTTCCTTCAAAGAATACGAAAAGGTCCCACTTTCAGAACGGTTTGAATAATGTGTAGTTGATCCAAACATTCTATGTGATAGCGTAATTCAAAATTAAATTATGTACTTCACAGAATTTCTGATACATTTCACACATTCTAACACGATTCTAACACATTCTACCAGAACACTTAGAACTTTAATTCATCAATTAGAACAGAAACTTTGAATTTTTCCCACAACATTTACAACTTCATAACTTGTAATTTACCTCAATATTCACATTTTTAAGTCAGTCGTCCCCCTGATGGGACAGCGGTAAACTTACGGACTTACAACACAAAAATCTGGGGTTCGATTCCAACCGGTGGACACAGCAGATAGATTAGTGTGGCTTTCATCGAAATCCATCAACATTTAAAATTGAAGAATTCAAAGACAGAAACAACGTTATTTGTTGTGAGTTGTGTTTACCAACGTAAAAAATAGTGTAATCGAGTATAAATAATTACTTTAGCTATATATAATTACTTTAACTATAAGTAATTACTTTAACTATATATATAATTACTTTAACTATAAATAATTACTTTAACTATATATAATTTCCGCTGTTTATGTCATGATGAACAAACAAAATTTCTTCACCACATAAAAACATACACAAATATATTCAATTTACAGAAGAAAATATAAATAGCTGCACGATAAATTTTTTGAACGAAGTAAAACTAATCACTGGCGCTATCCCATATATATCAATCATAAGCAAACCTACAACAGATATTTGGAAACAAATATCACATAACTACAACCTTGACGTATCACTTAGATACATATTCACTCCTGGAATGATAATTAAACACATATTAAGAAAATTATATAATCAACCCACTCCACCGGCAAACATTTACAAAATACAGTGTAACAATTGCCCATTCTTTTACAGAGGTGAAACAGGGCGTAACTTGAAGATCAGGTTAAAAGAACACCAAGAACCTCTTCCTTAGTCCTTGAACATATGAACAAAAACAACAATTTCATCATACTAAAACATGAAACTGACATTAACAGAAGAAAAATCAGAGAAGCCTTATTAATAAAATCAAACCATCCTACAATTGATATGCACATGCGTAAGAAACCATTATCGATTCTCTAATTTCCTCTCAGTGGGGCCGAATGTCGCCTGGTGAAGCCACCTGTTTAACCAGTCGCATCACT